TGGGGGGTGTTTGTGTCGCAAGAACCAAAATATCTCTCAATAAAATTTGTTTTGTTTTACTTAAGAATAAATTGATAATGGTATAAAGAAGGTTTTTTATGAATGAAAACGAATAATAAATTTTCGTGTTAAAAGAAAGTAACAAATTCAGTTTTAAACCATTGAGTTTGTTTCAATAATGGTCTTTAGCTAGAGAGGGGTGGAAAATCCCCTTGGAGCCACATATAACACTATTAATACAATGGGAATCCTCTTACAATGAATTAAGGCAAAATAAATATTTTTGTAAGGAATGGATGGATTTGCTTTTTTAAATTTACAATCAACAGAACATTTCTAATATTAATTTTCAAAAAGACACCGGAGAACAAATTAAATAAAATCAATCCGACGGTAAACACAGGCAAGCTTTGTCAATTTCACCAACTTGTTTATTTCAAACAGCGTTGCGCGCAAAGGATTGTGGGTAATACGAGGGTCCAACTTGCCCCGAGTCAAGGGGGCCAACTAGTCCCGGGTGGACATCATTTATTTTAAAGGATGGTAGCCATTTATGGTGCTAGAATGAGCAACGACGATACATCTCTGTGAGACGTGAAACAATGAGCTTCAGTTTGATGCCCTATACATATCTTATATTCGATCAAAAGCCTATGAAAATAGATTTTTAAATCTCTTAAACAAAATTACTTTTAGGTGCAAAAATCGTTTATTTCGTTTCACCGCTTAAGTAAAACTTTTTTAACGTCTGACATTTCCTTAGCATTGTAGGCTACGGTCACTTTGCAAGAGTATGTGGCCAATTTTTTTTTACCTCGTAGTTACCTGTACAGTATATAGTTCAAACGATCACATGTGTAAAATATGTGTAAAATATATTTTAAGTACCTTCAGTGAAAAAAAGGAATGACATGTAATCGAAAGTGTGTATAAAACATTTTAATGCGGAATGACACACAATAAATGCATAGAGATTTGAATATTTTACATTATAAGTTAAAAACAAGAGTTATACAAGAGTTAAGTAAACATTATAAGTTAAAATCAATGGTTCGCTTTAGTATAATGCTATTATGCCCAGATTGCGAATATAAAGCGCTTTTACTAAATATATACTGTTCTACCGTAGGACCCTAGGTTTTAGACCCTGTGTGATATACATTTTTTCTGTATGACGGGCGGACTCGTGTTTCGTGATAGCTGTCATGAAACGTAGGTTCCGGTAAAATACAGGGTCCGGGGGACCCTATATATACGGTACTGCATTATACCCAGTAACCATGATAATAAGTCCGGGACCCGTTATTTCAGAATTATTTTTGAAATGACGGGTCCGGACTCTCTGTCATGGAGGACCTTCTGGTACATGACACCGGGACACTAATTGCAAGGAGCGATGGCCGTGGAAATTGTACTCCTTTCTTGAGGTTTTCTTGCTTCCTGTGTAAGTGGCACACACTCACCACTTACAAACGGAATGCAACGCACGGCGAAAGTACTGCTCTTTTGCTTCACACTTGCTTCACACGTTTGCGATGCTGTACTGGACTTAATGAACTAGCCTTAGTCACACAACATCTAACAAATGCCTAATACTATTTCTATAACCTAAAACCTTCTCTTTTAATGGTTTTTAACCCTTGTATGTTCATATTTATGAAAAAGCTTCATTTTTTGCTGAATTTTGAACTCGTCAGACCTTTTGACTTATTTCTAATGCGACATGACTTTGTCAACTGGTCTTTTCACGAAATTAATCGTCCATGCACAAATCTGCATAACATTGTGCATTTTGTTTTAAAAAGACCGAACTGTTGTATTTTCTACATTCTCTAAATTACGTGCACTTTCTCTCTCCTACTTCCACTTTCAAAGCGGGCATATCTTTTGTAAGGTTCACATTCAACTAGTTTATATAATTTTCTAAAATAAGACAGCCAAGGCTCCAAAATTGTGGTCATAAGAATAAGACTACCATGTTTGCATTCACCAAATGTAAATTCCCAGCTTAAACAATGCTTTTTTAAATAAAAATTTGGTTTTAATATATGAAAAATTCATAGAACATGTGAATTTGACCCATTACCAATTCCCCATGTTTTATTGTCATCCAATCATGGCTAACGAAATTGATTGTTCCATTCCTTGCCTCCATAATTATATATACCTGTAATGCATTCATATATCTGTAATTATATAGATATGGTAAACATTTTCTCTCACTTACCCACTTTTTAATAAAGGGCATTTTTGCTGTAAGGTTCACATTCTTTTGCACATTTTTCTAAAATAAGACAGCTAAGGCTCCGAATTTTAATCATTAGCATATGAATATGGCATATTAACAAACCATTCACCAAACACCATATTCTTACTGTTAAAAAACTTTCGTGTTTTTATTTATGAATAATCCATAAAATAGAACCTGTGACTTTTGACCATTAATCGATCAGCTTTGACTAATTTTCACCCATCCATGACCCTTGAAACTAATTGTCCTGTCCCTTACCTCCAAAATGATGTACAATTTATTGATATAAATGTTACAATACTGATAAGATAAGCATTTTTCTCGCCCCCCCCCTCATAAATAAAAAAAACTGAAAAAGAGCAGAAGCAAGGATGGATTACATAAGTGATAGGTCCAGTATGATTAATAAAATTTGATGTCCAATGTTTAACAGATACTTAATTTCCCCACTCAAAAATCACACTTTCCAATAGTGTGTGCTTGTCCTTTTATGCAAACTAATGGGTGTGTGATTATTTGTTTTGTCAACTTTTTGTCACTAGGCACTGTTATAAATATCTTTTGAAAATTAAAATACTTGAGATCACTAGAGGAAAATGAAAACTGTAAAGCTGTATTTTTGTCAGTTGTAAAATGGCGCTACTAGGAAGAACCAAGTTTTGCAATCAAGCGTATTTTGCAACAGCAACGCATTTGACAACCATTATTATACAGATGTGAAATCTGATATAGAATATTTCAGTTTCAAAGCCTAGGTAACATTCGGTCTTTTTTAAACTGAGATCTCATATAAGATATGTGAATGGAAAATTGTGTAGGTAGCTGTGTCGCTACCAATTAACTGACTACTATGTCTGTTGCGTTGCTGCATTCTGCAATATGCAGTGATTTAATTGGGCAGTGCTCCTTTGGGCTGGTCAAAGATTGGCTTTGGCAAAGCATGGTTCTGTCAAATAAGTATCCATATGGGACAACTATACTGCATAAATAATTGAAAGATAGACCTGCCACGCGCGCCTGCACGGATTCATTGGAATATCAACATAATTACGATCTCCATTTATTGTGAATTAGTTATACCAGAACACAGTGAAGACAATACCATTTTTGAAACATGTTGGTGATTTATGTTTTTTTTTTTTTTTTTTTTGACAATTGTCTCTGCTCTTTTGCAGTTTAACCCCGACCATGGCCATCCCAATTACGTTAGAGAATCAGATCAAGCTTCAGAAAAACTGGGAAACTATGTGTGACGACCTAGTTGTCAGGGACGTTTCACCCAAGCTTATATCAAGAGGAATTCTGACTCAAAAAGACCTGAATGACGTCTTAAAGAAAAAAACACGCCTTGAACAAACTCAGAAACTCTTAAGTCTTTTGTTAACCAAGAACAACCAACACTTCGAGTACTTCCAAGAATGTTTGAATAAGGACTATGGTTGGTTGGCAGATAAATTGTCTGTAACTGTTGTGACTAGAGAAGACAGAGAGGAGTTTACAGGTAAGTAGCAAAAGGCATATATATATATATATATATATATATATGTAATGGCTGTGATAGGAATTTACTTCTTTTGTTCGTTGAAAAGTTAAAGGAAAGCTTATACTAAGTTATACATGACAACGATGGTATGAATTGAGTTAATCAACTATTGAAAGTTCAAAGCAGCGTTATTCAAAGAAAAAAAAACGTGGTAAATATAATTTTAATTATGGGAAACCTTGAACTTTTAAACTAAACTTAAGTGCCAGTTTTTTTAAGCAGCAGACAAGTGCGGCAAGGTGAGGGTTCACAGAATTTGACCTTATTGGGCTGAAATACTTGCCTGGGGACCCTCTTAACTTCTGCCAAACGTTAGGCCCCAAAACCGTATTCAAGGGATTTATGCCCAATTTTCGATTTTTCCAGTTTTCGAAGCAGATTTTCAGTCAGCAGCCATGCAACTCATATGTATGCTTATTTCCCCCTTATCTAGCTATGTATTTACAATATTCCTATATGATGTTTTTTGTCAATCAATATTATTCCTTCCAAGACATTCAAACAACACCCACCTAGTCCACACTGTACCCACATTTTGCACCCCACCCCCCAAAACCATATTTGAGCATGGCGATTTTCAAAGAGTCATATACCCACTGGTAGAAGTCCTATGACTGTAAAACCTATATGTGTTTATAAAGGAACATTAGGGTGATAAAATCCAAAGAGATCTTGGACTTTTATTTTGTTGGCGATATATTGATGTCTGAAAACATGGCCAGAAATGCGCAGCATTCACGCGATACGCAAGGACGCTACAGTTGGGCTTCACGTGACTCAACTAGCCAATCACAGCACAACAATGGCATCGCACACAGACTCTATGATAAGTGCTCGAGGAGCAGCCTATTGACAAGTCAGTCTGTCCGGAGATCTGGCATATCAATGCGTAAGCGGTGATTATTACAAAAAATCCTACGCGCTTGCACAAAATAGTCCGCGACGTGTGTTTCGCGCCATATTTTGCAAAATCCATATCTGTTATGAAAATCCATGAAACTCTGTGAATAGCCCATTGTTCCGCTTGAAACTTTCAAAAAATAAAATTTAGAACTTGATGTAAACGCACAATGTAAAATGAACATTTCATTTCCGTGGAAAAATTTGTATCAGCTGTCTAAAAATAGCACACGCGTTTTTCCCAAGCTGACCTTGGAATTTTTTACCCAAAAATGAAATGATTGCAGAAAAAATGGACAAACCTAATTTTTTGATATTATAATGATTTATGAAACTAA